ACCACACACACCCACCACACCACACACACCCACCACACCACACACACACACACACACACCACACACACACAACCCCCCCTGAAAATCCAGTTGTCCAACAACCACGTTTACAAAAACTCGTCTTTAACTTGAGCAACGTTCAGGGGTTTTGAAGAGATTTATTTGGTTTAACTGAAGACAATGAATGACACGAACCTTTGGATGTTGATCCGACTAAAGCGGTTTATTATGTTTTATTGTAAAAACAGGACTGGCGCGTGAGAAGCAGCAACGTGAAAAGACAGATGTGCTGCTTCTTTTTCAGGTTTGTACCCTGAAGGGGTCGCGTCTTTAACTGACCCGCAGTGACCTGCAGGGGGAGCTGCTTCACAATAATGACATCATCCTAGGATCAGTCAGATCACAGCTATTTACAGTCCAGGCTGTCTCAAGAGACATTGTCCGTCCTTTTCTCCTCCTCCTCCTCCTCACTGTCCTCATCTTCTTCACTCTCGCTGTACTGGAAGTTACAGCGGTTGGTGTTTACAAAAAGGTCACTGTCGTCTTCGTCAGAGTCGCTCCCCTCCTCCTCTTTCTCTTCCAACTTTTCTTTTTCCGGCTTCTTGCTTGGCTCGTCTTGTGATTTCTCCACTGTAAAACCTTCAGGCCTTGAGGGAAGTTGAGAACAAAGGCAACAGATTAAGAAGCTGATTCTCAGAGTCTGTGTGTATTAACGTTGGGCGATAGGATAAAAGAATAAAAGTTCACGATCGGCCATCGTCGGTCCAAAACCCGACATCATAGCTGTACAAGTTAAAGAGTTGTTTTTCAGGAGGGGCACAATGGGCCATCTGTTACTCATACACCTGTGGAAGTGGGCTGTTCGTTGCTCTTAAAAGGGAACGTTAAATGGGGTGAAAAATCTACTTTAAACAGCTCCCAATGGTCTCGCTGATGGTCTCGCTGATGGTCTCGCTGATGGTCGATATACATTTGCCCGATCGCCCAACTCGAGTGCAGTTGTGTCTTTACTCACCAACACTGCTGTTTCTGCAAAAACTGAATGTGATCTTTGTAGAGTATGAAGTTTATCTCTGCCTTCACCTTCTCTCCTTCTTCAATAGGATCCACAATCACATAATCACCTGAAGAATTACAGCAGACAATCTTACATTTGTAGCTTAATCACATCACTAAAGTTGCACATTATGAAACTGGTATCTTCAAATAGTTTACAGTGAGGAAAACAAGTATTTGAACACCTGTGACTTTGAAAGTTCTCCCACTTAGAAATCATGGAGGGTCTGAAATGTTCATCTTAGCTGCATGTCCACTGTGAGAGACAGAATCTGTCACTGAGAAACAGAGTTTGAGCTCCCTCCAAAGATTTTCTACAGGGTTCAGGTCTGGAGACTGGCTGGACCACTCCAGAACCTTGATCTGCTTCTTACGGAGCCACTCCTTGGTTCTCCTGGCTGTGAGCTTCAGGTCATTGTCATGTTGGAAGACTCAGCCATGACCCATCTTCAATGCTCTAACTGAGGGAAGGAGGTTGTTCCCCAAAATCTCTCACTACATGGCCCCGGTCATCCTCTCCTTAATACAGTGCAGTCGTCCTGTCCCATGTGCAGAAAAACACCCCCAGAGCATGATGCTTCCACCCCCATGCTTCACAGCAGGGATGGTGTTTTCAGGATGGTCCTCTTCATTCTTCGTCCTCCAAACACGTTGAGTGGAATTAAGACCAAAAAGTTCTATTCTGGTCTCATCTGACCTCAGAACTTTCTCCCATGACTCCTCTGGATCATCCAAATGGTCATGGACAAACTTCAGACGGGCCTGGACGTGCGCTGGTTTAATCAGGGGAACCTTCGTGCCATGCATGATTTAAACTATGACGTCTTAGTGTATTACCCACAGTAACCTTGGAAACAGTGGTGCCAGCTCTCTTCAGGTCATGGACCAGCTCCTCCGTGTAGTTCTGGGCTGATTCCTCACCTTTCTTAGGATCAGTGATACGCCACCAGGTGAGATCTTGCATGGAGCCCCGGTCCCAGAGAGATTGACAGTCATGTTTAGCTTCTTCCATTTTCTAATAGTTGCTCCAACAGTTGATCTTTTTCCACCAAGCTGCTTGGCAGTTGCCCTGTAGACCTTTCCAGCCTTGTGGAAGTCTACAATGTTGTCTCTGGTGTCTTTGGACAGCTCTTTGGTCTTAGCCATGTTAGTAGTTGGAGTCTTACTGATTGTGTGGGGTGGACAGGTGTCTTTATGCAGCTACCGACCTCAAACAGGTGCTTCTGATTTAGAATAATCAGTGGAGTGGAGGAGGACTAACAGGTCTTTGAGGACCAGAATTGTTGCTGATTGACCAGTGTTCAAATACAGGTCCTTCTCAAAAAATGAGCATATTGTGATAAAGGTCATTATTTTCCATAATGTAAT